TCCCTATCTACGAGGGTTATGCTTTGCCTCATGCTATTCTTCGTTTGGATCTTGCTGGCCGTGACCTAACTGATAACCTGATGAAGATCCTCACTGAGAGAGGTTACATGTTCACCACCACTGCAGAACGGGAAATTGTCCGTGACATGAAGGAGAAGCTTGCTTACGTGGCTCTTGACTACGAGCAGGAGCTTGACACTGCCAAGAGCAGCTCCTCCGTTGAGAAGAACTATGAACTGCCAGATGGACAAGTTATTACCATTGGTGCCGAGAGGTTCCGGTGCCCAGAAGTCCTCTTCCAGCCATCCATGATCGGAATGGAAGCTGCAGGTATCCATGAGACTACCTACAACTCCATTATGAAGTGTGACGTTGATATTAGGAAGGACCTCTATGGCAACATTGTGCTCAGTGGTGGCTCAACCATGTTCCCTGGTATTGCTGATCGTATGAGCAAGGAAATCACCGCTTTGGCTCCCAGCAGCATGAAGATTAAGGTTGTTGCTCCACCGGAGAGAAAGTACAGTGTCTGGATCGGAGGATCCATCCTCGCATCCCTTAGCACATTCCAGCAGGCAAGCCTTCTATCTTTATCTTCTCTTGAATATATTTTTTTGCCATTTCAATGAACTGCATTGAACTGTGGTACTAAACGTGACTTTTTGTTCTGTGCTTAATCAGATGTGGATTTCAAAGGGTGAGTACGATGAGTCTGGTCCATCCATTGTCCACAGGAAGTGCTTCTAAGGCGGTGCTGCTATTTTTACTTGAGTCGCGAGTTTTCTTTTTCGTTTTCCTGCTTTTGCTATTATGTCGATAGTGAACTCAGGTTTGCTGTCGTAGGAGTCTTTGAAGGTGGGGCTGTGAAAGAAGGGCGATAAGAAAACATTGTACTGCTGATACTATTTCATGTTTCCAATGCAATGTGGATTATATTCTGAACACATTGAGAGTGCAAGCCTCTTTTGTCTGGAAATATCCCTTCTTGAACTTCTGTATGCTTTTGTAGTAGGTTGTTTGTAGTTTGGGAGAGATTGTGATGTTTTTCTTTTGGTCGTTTCTTTTATTTTCTCAGTTTCTTTTTTGTTATTCTATGGAACTTTTCTTTCTTTGGAACATATGTCAATATTTATTGAAAGAGAATTTTTGGTAGTATTTTGAGTTTTCGGATATTACTAGTATTTTCTGTGGATCATTTTTGGTGAAGCGTTGTTTTCATCTCTGTTATGTATTCTTTTATTGCAACCAATGTCCCATTCCTCGTGGCGTTTTCAGCGAACGTTTGAGGCTATAGAAAAGCAAAATGCCTTACCCTTACGTTTTGCCATTAATACATATGTGGTTTCATGTGAATTTATGGGGAAAAGCCAAACTCAATTAATTCCCATGAATTCAGATGAAACCCCATATGTATATAATGTCAAAATTTTGTACACCAAACGCTACAAAACATTTATCAAAGAATAAAAATTAGTATTGCGCTACATACATGTTCCATAAAAACTATGCTTGAGTGCATTAGTTGGGGCATTAATACGTAGTAACATAAGTACGTGAAAATATTGAACAGTATTTGCATATAGTTGTAGGACATCAGTATCTACAAATACTGCAAATGACATATTAAAATATTAATTTTAAGGTGTATTTGAAGTAAAATGTTAATTTCCTTTCACGCATATTCACACTTTTCAAGCAAAGTTTATTTAAACATAACTTTAACTTCCACACTTCCTTTTTTACTTTTGATTTTAACTCAATTAATTTTTTTTATTTTTTTAAACTTCAGCTCAAATATTGTGCGTAATTATTTCTACTTACTCGCACGCGGTACATTTAATCGAATAATTTAACTTTAGGCACTAAAAATAAAGTAAAATATATATCACTTAATCATAACTAAGTAATAAATGTGTGCATTACCAAAAGATTAAGATATTATTAGTTTAGAGTAAACCCCATATACAAGTAAACTTTTCCCACTGTTGGGATTTGAAATACGTAACACTATAATTCGAATTATATCTCTTGAGGACAATGTTTCAAGTTCAGTAATTCAATAGCATGGTAATTAAATATTTACTTTGTACTTAGACGAGTTCAAATTATAAGATTCCTATGATATAGAAATGCAGTGTCATCTGATCTTAAAAAGACAAAAATCCTGGAGCACAGGGACAAATTTATAGGGTAATTTATGGGGCACGTGAATTCATAGTCTCTCCTGCAAACTAGATATTTTATGTATATATTTTTAAGAATTAGTCTAATATTATTGTTGGCATCCATGATGATTGAATGAAGCATTATCCAATGGAACAAAAATCAATTCTCACTTAATATTATTTTTTCTCCTTTCTTTAGTGGTGCACCCATGTTTTAGAAAACCTAGATCCACCTCTGCGATTAAATTTGTTGGTGTTAACGTAGTTGACACTTTTGTATGTAAAAAGGATACAAGAGTCTATTGCTTCATTTCTAATTTACCATCAATGATCATATAAGATTGTAAAGAAAGCAATTTGCCTTTACCTCATTTCCGTAACTTTGAAGAGTAGAGACGATCTGCCTTTCTTTTGACTGAAGCAAATTCCAAAACATGAGAATTTCTTTACTCTCTTTGTTTGTTTTATTGTTTTTTCTCTTCACCTAAATGATAATTTTGTAAGTAAAACTGTAAAAGTATGTATCATTATTAACAAGTAGATCGCTGCCGTTCTGCTTTTAAAGATTTAGTAAGTAAAGTACCAGATAATACTCTTTGTTACTACCGTAAGATCGATACCTTTGTTTGGTAAAGGAGAGTACAACTCGAGGATCAGTTTTATACCCAGGGGCGCTCGACGAGTTCTGTGGCATAAAACCAAACTTTATGAAGGGCATTAACATTTATTTTTAAAAGATATTTATTTATTTGAAGTATACTTTTCTAGTGTTTCTTAAATACAAAGTTATTAATAATTTTTTTATAATCAATAACTTCTAATAATTCTTTCTTAATTGACAATATACCTAATTCATTTAACCTTTCTTGAGATATTGCTGATCTTAAGTAAGATTTAATCAATTTTAATTTTGAAAATTTCTTTCCGCTGAAGCGACGGTAGCAAGAGTTATTAACATTATTCATAAGAACAAATCCTAAAAACTAAAATTTCAATTCATATCCTACGAGTTTAAATATAAACTAACTAAACTAAAGAAATTCAACCCATACCCTAAAAGTTCGATTCACAAGAACAAATTAATTTATTCTACAATTATAAATTAATTATATCTTTTTTAGTTAATTCAAGATAATTATTTTTTCCTAATTACACCAATTCATATCCTAAAAGTTCAATTCATATTCAAAAGGTCCAATTCATATCTTAAAAGTTCAATTCATATCCTAAAAGTTCGAGTTTTAACAAAAGAAGACACTATTTAATGAGACTTAAAAAAATTAAAATGATATAAATGATAGCGGATCGAATCTAAGAACGGGTCAAAAAAATAGTTTTAATGGGTGTGATTATTTTTTAAATATTTGGCTTTAAAAAATAATTAAAAAGTGTAGTGAGTGACCTTGTGAGTAAGATGGCAAAAACAGAGTCTCGTGTGTAATACAAAACAAAAAAAAAGTGACTTTTCTATTGAGTTGTTTTTTGAGTAATCAACTTAGCATTTGTTATTTTTCATCTATTTTTGGTGTATGATGCAGTTTTTGTATTGCAGTTTATGAGATTTGACAGGACATTTCTTGTATTGTTAAATATATTTTTTTCACAGTTCAATACAATATAACAATCAAGTCTATTGAATATTTGACAAAGATTAAAGGTGCTCACTTTTAACAAATTTAAAGACCAACCTGCTCATGAGTATATTGAACGGACCACTTTGAACCTACTCCAAAGATAAGGGACCATTTTATCTTTTTATCCGTTGTCCGGCTACCTGGTATTTAATATTGTTCCCATTTTACAATTTTTTGCAAAAATATGCTTCATTTTGTTGTTCTATAGATACGACACACTTGAACTTTTTATCCTTCAACTCTTCCACTACCTTTTTTCCAACTCTTCGTTCTTCCACTGTACTGATAATTTTTTTAATGAACAACTTTCACATCACGCAACTTCCTCTTAGCTGTAGGTTTTTCCTTTGTCCCTGTGAATTGTGATCATTTATTTATCTTTCAATCAGTTTTTCTAATTTAAATTTTCTATTTTTCAAATTATTATTATCTTGTATGATTATACTACATTTATTCTTAAAAGATAATTTACTTATGTCGCTAATCCGAGTTCCATATCTATGCTTAAGGACGAAAACTTTACTCTATCTTGTGTAATTGTCCAAACACATTTAATTAAAGAAAGGTTTATGTTTCAAGCTTCGACCGCTAGTAGCGAATTCTGATCGATCATCTTTGCCAACCTTATATTGTACTAAGGAATTAAGCAATTACCTTTGAAATTACACTACGTTTGATTTACAGAGTAAAATAATTATTTTCAGTTTGAGATAAAAAGAGTATGAAGTTTTGCCGGTGACGTGTGAACAAGACATGTAGAATGAAGATAGAACGAAGTCTTGTTATAGGTAGGTTTTTTATAGGTTTGATTGTTACAATGAATTGAAGGTTGTTTCAAAGAGCTGTTAGTTTTCAAAGATGTCGAACATATACGTAGGAAATATTACTCTGAACTTATTTTATTTTTTTAATAACCGTGGTGTCTGAGTCAGCTTGCGTGCTCTCGACTAATTCCCTGTACCTCCCACCAGCAACATGTACCAAATAACTCTAACCTTAATTAAAAACTCAAGTTTGTCTCAACAATATAACCTCTTTTCTTTAGAAAGGGTTATTATGTTGTCTTAACTCTTTATCACAGGAATATCAAGAGAGGATCCGCCTCCAGATTACAGACTCTTGATATAATCCTTTTGGAATGGACATTTGTTCACTTAGATTTCATTCTGAGGAAATAAAAGCCTGGTCTGTAGTCCAGATATGCTTGTGAAACTTACTCCTTGAGTATATATTTAAGTCACTGAAAACTTCACCAACAGATAGAAGTTTTTATTTCTGAATATCTATGGCAAATTAGGGAATGATCAAGGCAAGGGCCCAACCTGGTAGGACACGTTACATCAAACCGAAAAACTGTTGCATTTAAACCTTAATCTATAAAATATGATGAAAGCTAGTCAACTATCAAGCTGGAGGTTATGTAGCCCACTATCAAGCTGGGGCAGCGGACATTGCCTCCGTTTCTTCAGCTGCAAAAGGAATTGGCTTGGTTGGGGCAGGCAACCGCCCAATGCTGTCCACCTTCTCCTTCAGTTTCGGTGGAGGCCTTGCCGGTCTTGGAAGCAACCTGCCCTTTTTCTCGAACCACTCGGGCTTCAGTAGTGCTCGCAACCCTAGTTTGTTGTAATGCACTCTCCTAACAGTCCCACCTGCTGCTTCCACTGCTGCTTTAGCTCTAGCAGTCACCCTTGAGACCTGTTATCAACAGTTGACGTGTCATATGAGTACAATGTGGTAACAAACATCCATGCTCCTTTTATGAAAAATATGCTGCATATTCTAAAAAAGAAAAATTGATACTGTTAAAGGAAAGAAGCATCATGCCAACAATATGCTAGCCCCGCTGCATAAGTAATAATTTACCGTGTACTTTCTGTCATTTTCTATTTTCTTTGGTTTTGTATCTTTTCCAGTCCCCACCTATGGGATTACTCTGGGTTTGTTGTTGTTTTTTCATCTTTTCTACCCAGAAATGTGACTGGGGCTCTGGAAGATACATCTAAGGAAGAAGATACTTAAACCACAATACCCCCCCCCNTACAGACCCGCCTGCTGCTTCAACAGCTGCTTTAGCTCTAACAGTCACCCTTGAGACCTGTCATCAACAGTTGATGTTGGATGAATACAATTAGGGGGGCATACATACATGCTCATTTTTTGAAGACAAATGTGCTCCATATTCTTTATTTAATGATACCGTTAACAAGGGAATAAAAGGATCATGTCAAACCATATTTGTCCTCAATGAAAAGCATTTATAACCACACAAATACTCTGACATGTTAACACCACAAGTTTCAAAAGAATTATAGCCACACAAACGATATGGTTTGTTTAGGACCACAAGTTTTAAAATTCTTCATTTCTTTCTTAATCTCCGTACCCGGTCAAATAGGTTCTCATAAATTGGAACAAAGGGAGTATGTGATTTTGGTCATTTTCCATTTTCTTAGTTTCTTGCCTTCTTTTCCCATAGAGTAGTGACTGGGGCTTCAGAAGATACACCTAAAGAAGATAAATACTCGCACCCCCAGTCCCAACTAATCAATATTTTTGAAGACACACAGACACTTCTGGGAGTGCCAAGCTGACTTAAGCTTTTAGAATTACTTGCACTTCCGAATGCATTCACAATAAATGGCAGTACATGTGCAAATCGATTCTGAAATTCTAACGCAAATGTAAAGTTGATGTTATTTCTATCAAATACACTTTTAGATAAACTTTATAAGAAGTGTAACACAATATATTATGGAAAAGAAAAAGTAAACTATAACAAAACTAAGAATCCAAGGCTATTCCAGTAGTCTTAGCTGAATATTACCTCTAGATGGATGGGCCATTGAATATGTTCAGCTCCACGCCCCATCAACCTGACTCCATCTCCTATTTGCTTCCCTATTGCCGCAGAATCCTATTGCCAGGAGAAGTTGATTTATAACTCAAGGTCTAAATGCTTAAGCAATATCATGCTATATTGTTGCATCAGAAGCCATAATTACCTTTAAAGTTTTCATTGTTATCAACTCTGACGAGTCAATCTTCCCTGCATTTATCAGCTTTGCAATCTTTCCCAACCCAACTGGCTGGACAAAGCACAAGACAAAGAACAAGAAATCAGACAGCAATCAGCAAAATTACTCCAAAGTTTTACAGTTATAAGTGGTTTCAGTATTCTATACAAATGCTCAAAAGTTTTGTCTCAGCAACAAAAATCTTAGTAATATATGTCATATGCCTTCTCCCCACATGATAGTTCAATTGTATCTGTTTGGTGCAGATAACATATCTAGGTAGAAGTTGAAGACTTTTGCCAGTTTTTACATTTCCTTTCATTATAATGAGTCCTATGACTATTACAGGTTTCTGTTTATGTCCTTTATGATCTTTCACCAGTGTATGCATTTCCTTCATGCCTTTGTTCATCAGTGACATCTTATTTACCAATCAACCAGAGAGAGAGAGAGAGAGAGAGAGAGAGGGAGGGAGGGAGAGAGAGAGAGGAAGGGTGGTTGCATAGCTTTTGTTTAAATCCATAGAAAACAGGCAAATAGCTTGTGACACCGGAATGAAAATAAGATCGTTGGCAACTTGATGCTCGTCCTTTTGGGAAAGAAAAAGTTTTCAATGACTTTTAACAGCAGAATTGACAAGCTCATGCTTAGGGTGTCAGTTAATAAACACAAATATATAATTACATTGGCAGAATAACAGTATAAAATCACTAAATTGTACTGGGCTTCTACATCATTATGCAAAACTTTAGCAATATTAGATATGCTGATATGAACAGCAGAGGACAGTGTAGCCACAAGGTAGCGAGGAAGATCCCTCAGTTTGAATAGAAGTAGCTGTGCTTACACTAGTTGACAGATCAACACAAAGAGTACAAAGCTAACAAACAGACATTCTTAACAGCATCCTTGGAATGTTATAAATGAAAGTCCAACTTATTTGTTCGACCAATAAAAAGAAAAAGAAAGTCCAACCTATTTGATTTTAAGGTAAAATGTAACAGTGCCCTTCATTTGAGATTGTAGTACAATAGAAGGTGTTTTATCTGGTTTCAGAAGCTGGCTAGGTCCACAAAAAATAAAGAAGAATTCACTGTCCCATACATTACGTAATATACTGGCAATACTCAAGTGCATCCTGAGCATAAAGATGTCATTTTATCACTCACATCCATTTCTTGACCTTGCTCCTTAACATAATAAAGCAATCATTACCAATTTCTATATACCATTCAAAAAGAGAAATATGCACAGAAGTTAACATTTTTCTTATATCAATAGATCAGGTAACTGGCTAAAGGTGATACAAATGTGTTCGTTCTTCTCCTGTTGTTCTTTAAATACCAAGAGATTCTTCCATATCTCACACTCAAAGAGGTAATGGGAGTGGGTACAACAACAACAAACCTAGTGTAATTCCACAAGTGGGGTCTGGGGAGGGCAGTGTGTATGCAGACCTTACCCCTACTTTTAAGAAGGCAGAGATGTTGTTTCCGGTAGACACTCGGAGGTAATGGGAGCGGGTAATTTGAAATTTATTGATCTGATTACTCCATCAGAAACAGGACATAAGCAGGTGAGGATAAGAAGTTATAATTCCACCTGAGCCCAAGGTTATCAAACACTGCACAAGGGAACAGTAAGTATCCTACTTCTTCCGGCTAAAGATAAACAAGGGCTGATAAAAAGAAATAGATTAATATGGGGACATGCTTGATACTTTATCATGTCCATGGCTATCCACGAATTACCAAACAAGTAAACAAAGCCAGGAACATTATGTTTTAATGAACTAAAAGCTATCAGTTATAATTCAGATTTCATGGACATGCAACTAATCATGTTGAAACAGTTCTCAAGTTTTGCTAAAAAGCATTCAAAAGAGCATCAATAAATTCCTTACTTTGCAAAAGATTATAAGATTTTAAGCATCAAAATATAATTAAATAAAGCTGTATAGTGTTTGTTGTTTAAAGTGGAGATGACAAGTGATAATAGTCTTGTAGCCTGCCATAAGGTAATTGAAGAAGCTTGAAGAGAGGGGAAAAGAAACAGAGAGCCAAACGAAAAGCAGAATGAAAGGGATCACTTCTTTCTATTTTGACTAATAATGAGACTACTGACAGGATCTTTAACGAGAAACAATTTGCAGGATTGAGATTTCTAACACCGTAGTTCCAAGTATCAGTGTTGATTTGGTATCGCAATGCCTACAATTTTCCGTAAGGATGGACAGGACAGGATGAACGGGGGCAGGAAAAATAGGGGAGTCATATATCTAATCTGATAAGCACTCCTGCAGCCACTCCCCCTAATGTTTTTTTTTTAAATAACCGTGGTGTCTGAGCCAATTCGCTGACACCTCGACTAATTATTCCATGGGGTACCTACACAGGTACCGGGTTAGCCACTCCCTAATGTTTTACGATGTCCAAAATTGAGTCCTGAAACAGATATATCGAGATCTTAGATGTTATTCTAATTGTATTTGGTACCAAAATTTGGCCTAAACTCCAAACTCTTTTTGCTAAACTTCTTTTTTATCAGGATTGTATACTAAAACAAAGTTAATCTAAAGCAAATGAAGAATTTGATCTAATAATGATTATTTGGTTAATTAATTTACTAGCAATGACTAATGTGTAGTTCCGACCAAAAAAGTTAAGGGTGAACCTAGTGTAAGGAACTTGATATTACTCAATAAGAGCCTGCTTTTAATTGGTTGTGGAGATATAGATAAGAACAGGATACTCTATGGAGAAGGGTCACAACTGCTAAACATGGGGTACTGCATAGGTGCACTAAAAGAGATTCATACAGTCAATGATATGGCTTATGGAAACACTTAACAAGCCTCTGGCCAGGTTCCAAACGCAAACCGGCTAAAAGTAGGAAATGGACAAAAAAGAGATGCTGGAATGATATTTGGCTTGGAGATAGCCCTCTGAATGAGATTTATCCAGATGCTTTAACCTAGCTGTTAACCCAAAAGCCACAATATCCATTACAGAGCTGGTAACAGTTAGGACATAAAACTAAGGAGAAATGCCCAGGACTAGGAGATGGACAGTTGTTATATCTGATGGGCACAATGGATTGGAGAGCTTGGGAGTTTGAAAGAAATGACAAACTGAGATGGTCATATGAGAATAGAGGGCTTTAGTCGAATAAGTGCTGGCTGCAGTTAATATGTGTAATTTGCCTTGGAAAATGAAGCGTCTCAATTCAAGATAATCTGAAGGAGGAATAACAACATGTAATAGATGTTCCATGTGTGAAACAGATCTGTAAAGCGTTAGTCAACTCTCTCTACACGGTAAAGTTGCAACAGATCCATGGAATATGTTCCTATATTTGTTTGGGGTAAAATGGGTGATGCATAGTACCATATTTCAGCATTCCTGGAGCTGGAATTGAGAACAAGGAAAAAGGAATGCAGGGACATTTGGAATACTACTCCTGCATGCATCGTTTGGTTCTTATGCAAGAGAGAAACAGTATGTGCCTTGAAGACTGCTGACGGACACTTCATCAGCTTAAAGTTTTCAGTCTGCATCTTCTATACGGCTATACCTCTGGTGCAAATCTGAAGTTGTTATATAGAAAATCTGGTGGATTTTATCACTTTTCCTTCTTTGTTAGGAGGATGTATTTATAATTTTTAAATGGTGTAAAAATGCACTGTCCTAGTACCATATTATTAACACCTTACATTTATGCTCCAAAAGAATGTTTCGAAGATATTCGGCAACATAATAACATGAAAACCTTGAGATTACATTTTCTAGTGACCCAATAAACTTTTTTTTAAAAAAAACAGTAAAAAGAAACAAGACTGAATAATGTTATTTGGACTGCTAAATTTAGCAAGCAAAATCCAATCACTAGTCCTGTGTGTCATGAAATAACAGCGACACCCATTTTCCACAGGGCTATCCTTCAGGACCTTCACGATAATCATACCTTTATTTTATTTTTCCATTTTTAAAGGAAAGAAGTAACAAAGACACTTTTGGTGCGTCTTATATAGTTCACCACCATATCATTCCGATCATAACCTAACTCCCTCTACCAACATTAAGTAAAATCAAAACAACAATTATACTCCACTATAAGTAAATTCCAAGAATTCAGACAACCTCTTAAAACAGACACAGAAACCTCCAATGGATAGCCCTTATTTAGTACGGTCCTCACCCAAACTGCACACTAATTACCATGTTTTCACCAAACCCAATTATCAATACCCTTCCCATTTACATGTCCTGCTTTCACTAAATTAAATTTAATATTAACAAAAAGTTGTACAGGGCCCATGTCTACTCTGTTTTTCTTTGAAAAGGTAAGGTTAGAGATTTCAAAAAGCACCAAGGAGTTACAGCCCATGCCTGCTCCTATTAGAGAAACTTTCTCCTTCATACTTCATTGTATCATCTAACAACAACAAAATGACATGTGACCTCGCATATTTGTTCAATAAATACTCCCTCCGAACAAATTTACTTTAGCACTAATTCAATAATAAACTCCATGAAAAGATAGAAAAAGATAATCATTTCTCTTGTTTCTAGTTTTCAGTTTTATATGATTGACACTACACACATGTTCTTAAGTGAGGAAACAAAATCCAGGATTGGGTTTTCCACATGCTAGTAACGATTAGGTTTTGTTGGAGTTAGTATTGAATTCTGAACCCAATCACGCCCTTGGCCTATAATATTCCATAGAGGTGCGACAGGGTAAAGGGGAGTACAGGAAATAGCATACCCATGTATTACTATGAATGCAAAATTTAGCAAGCAGAATCCAATCATTAGTTCGGCGTATCATGAAAAAACCATCAGTTCACCATAGGGCTGTCACTCACCGCTAATCATAATTTTGGCTATACGCGTATAACATTAATTTCATTGAAAAAAGGGGCTATGTACATATAACATTAACTAAATACATAAGCATACTGACTTATTTTAAAAAGAAATAGAAAAATAAGGCACCTTAATTATTCTCCTATGGTTCCCATTGTAAAGGGACATCAATTCTAATAATAAAACTAACTTCCTCAAGCAACATAAAAGTAAAATTATAACACCAACTATACTCCACTGCACTTAAATTCCCACCATACATAACACCACACAAAATAGCTATAGCCTATTACAATCCTCACTCGACCACACACCAATTATCAGTTTTTCTACCAAACTACTATTCCCATTTTACATGACCTACTTTCTATTTATTACATTTTACATTAACAAAAAAGTTACATAGGAACCTCATTTACCCTTATCAGAACAGCTTTTCTATCACTCTATCATTCAACAACCAAAAAGTGATATGTGATCTCACGCATTAACTCAACAAATACTCCCTCTGTCCAATTCTATTATAATACCATTTCACTAATAATAATTCATTTAACTAATCAAAATTTTAAAATTTAACACAAAATCAATGACTATACCTGAAATTCGAGACTGAACGGGTTCTTGAACCCACGTTTAGGCAAACGGCGACGAAGCGGGGTCTGCCCACCTTCAAAACCAAACTTATGGGTCCCTCTAGCCTTCTGACCCTTATGTCCTCGACCCGCTGTCTTCCCCTTACCCGACCCGATACCTCTTCCTTTCCGGGTCTTCTGCTTCCTAGCACCCTTGTTATCTTGCAAATCATTTAAGCTCAGAAGACTGTAGGCTTTCCTCATACCCTGATAATGCTGAAACTGTCGCCCCAATGATCCATTTGGAGCAATGCTGGAGATGGGGTGTTGAGAAAATTCCAAAGATTGAATCTTTGGGGAAGACGTGAATATGGGTTGGGAAATCTTGATGGGTTTGTTATAGATTTGAACATTTTGGAGTGAAGATGATAGTATTAAAGTGATTCTCCTTCTCAACATTTCTTCTACTTCTGGGGTTTATGTGTGAGCATAGATAGTAGTGAAAGTTTTGGATTTTGCTTGAAAGCTTGAGCTTTGATGTGTAGGGTTTTAATGGGGGTTAAATTGCTGTTTTTGTTTTTGGTTGAAATGGCTATTGTGAGAGTTTAGGGAAGATGGGAAGTTTAAACGACATCGTATTGCTTCCTACCAGTGTATTTTCTAGGGCACTTTCTTTTCTTTTCCCCTTTTTGTAAACTCACGATTTTAAAAAAAATCCCTTTTTTATTAATTATTACACACACATAAGAATTTCCACAAATATGAAAAAAGAAAATAAAGGCGATTTTTTTTTTGGCGTAATTTTGGTGAAAGTACTATATACACTAAGTTTTAGAAAATTATTTTGAAAAGATGATGCTATACTAAACGATTCTTTTGAAAATAATGACTAGTGTGTACAATCCTTTATTGGTTAGATACTAGAGATTGTTGCATTCTTTCAGTCTATTGCAAAGGTTTTAAATATTGAGTGGATTAATGCTTGGATTGTATTCAATTCCAAAATTAGTAGTTTGGTTTAGTGACAAAGCATCTAGTTAGCTATCAAAATATTGTCTCTGCAATGACTAAATATCATTGTTTAATGCATAAATCTGTGAGAGATTTTCCCAATGATACTTAAGGCCAAAATGTAAAAGATGTACAAATAATCTCTTGCTAGCAAATGATATTAATATGATTTTTTTGATGAATAAATGATGTTGCAAATAGTAAGACGAAAATTCTTATAATATATGAACAAAAAGACCCATATGTAATTTTTCGGTTATTTCAAGTATTATATAGGAAAATTTTACGAGGCCAAAGGTTTAGAAAAGGAAAACATGAATTAACGTAAACAGTCCCACTTAAACTAAAATAACCGACGAATGTCTAATATATGGATAATTCATATATAATATGTGTATAACCTTATGCAATTAATGTATGATTGATGTCTACAAATTAAAAAAAAAATTAAATTTAGCTGGCTATTTGTGTAAGGATCCTAGAAAAGAATTGAGAAATTTTTATAAAGCAATATCTTTTAGTAGTAATTAGTCATCTATAAATACCATTTGATATATTACAGTTTATAGATACCTTTTCTGTGGTTATAAGATGTATTTGATGTATTTAAGCTAATGTATTCATGAATACAGTAACGCATTTTGCGTAAAATATGGACCTTTCAACTGGTTTAAAACGGAAAGAAAATCAATTTACCTGATATTCTCCTAATATAACCTAACTAACATAAACTAATAGCCCATAAAAATGTATGCCTCCTTTCACGAAAGTTTTTCAATCGAAAAAATAGCCAAAAGCAGAGCAACATCTGGATTTTAAGTTCTCCCTTTTTTCTGTAGTTCCAGTGCGTACCTAGTTCTCTTTTCAACCACGAAAAATTGTGATTGATACAATTGTATACGTATGGCAAGTTTAACAGTGTTGTTGCGGCATTCTGGCAAGTGGAACAGTGAGAGCAATTACGTCAATTATTCAGTTGAGGGAATACTGATAAAGGAGTTTGCGTCGTATAATGATTTGGTTGCGTCAATATCTAATCAACTGGGCATAGATTTGAGCTCAAAGTCCATTAAAATTCAATACAAAGTAGAAGGAAATTGCACGTCAATGGAAATACACAATGGTATGGGTTACAAGGTGTATGTAGAGTTGAAAAAAGAGAACAGAGAATTCGGGATGTATCCTTTGTGCATAACAACGATTGAAAAAGAACTTGTATCCGAAGGTAGTTTAATTCAAGGCGACATTGTGCAAATAGACGAAGCAGTTCAAAGGTATGATTCTGATACAAATGATACACTTGCTCTAGATTTTGTCAATTCAGGACAAGCAATTGGGGTGTTCGAACTGGACAAGGATTTGATAATTTCAAAAACTAATCAAAGGGAGGATATGGCTAGACAAGTATATAAGGATAATGCTACATTGAAAGAGGTGATGGAGCATTATGCTATATCTCAAAGGTTTCAATTCCGGGTTGATAGGTCTAATTCTGTCAGGTTTGAGTGTATTTTATTATTCTTTATTTTTGTTGTATATTGTATTAATGGTTGGAGTTGTAAGTTATATGTTGATGTGTTTATGCGTATTTGTGGATTTTCACTTGATCTGCACTGATGTGGTTAACTATTTTTTTATGGTCTTCAAATACATGTATTCTTGTGTATTTTACTTGTATAAACTTATTACAATGGCTCTCATTGATTTCCTCTTTGGTTTACTAGTTGTATATAAATGTATGCATATAACTATAGATGTATTCAGTTGTATTATTTACACAAATAACTATAGGCGTATTTGCATTCATGTGTATATGAGTGAGTTTTTTGTAAGCATTTATGCTAATCATTTGTATAATGATATATTCTTTTCAGCTATGCATTATTATGTATGTCAAAAGATTGTGAATAGAGGTTTAAGACCTTGAGCATTAATAAATCAGAACTATTCAAAGTGAGAGAGTTCATTGATAAACATACATGTCTGTTGAAAGACAAGGTGTATGAGCAGCGACATGCAAGTAGCAGCCTTATAGGTGGTATGATTAGGCCAAATCTTACTAATCATAAGAGGAAATACACCCCAAAGAATATTATTGATGATGTGAAATCAGATTTAGGTGTAGATGTTAGCTACATGTCGGCGTGACGGGCTAAAGAAAAGGCAATGAATTTTTTGAGAGGTGAACCAGCTGATTCATACAAAAAATTACCAGAATACTTATATAAAATGGATATGACATATCTAGGTTTGCACATTAGAATGGTAAAATCGCTCAAAAATGAATTCATGTATGTGTATATATCTTTGTACGCCTTTTATAAAGGGGTTTGATTATTGTAGACCCATTGTGGTTGTGGATGGAAGTCACCTAAAATCTTACTATACTGGAACATTCGTCTCAGCCAGCACGTTGGATGGTGCAGGTGAGTATGTGAATTATAATAAATTTTGTTAATATTGTAAAGATTGAAATACATGTTTTAAAAATATGTATGCAATTATCTTTACAGGTCATATATTGCCACTAACATACGGTGTTATTGATTCAGAGAACGATGCCGCTTGGATGTGGTTCTTTGAGCAATTCAAGATAGCATACGGTGACAAGGAAAACATGTGTATCGTTTCAGATAGAAATGAGAGTATCATTAAATCTGTATCGAGAGTGTATCCAGATGTACCACAGTTTGCATGTATATGGCATCTATGGAACAACGTATATAAGAAATTCAAAAAGAGCCATGCAAAATTGAGCGAGATATACTTCTCGATGGCAAAAGCATACACACAAGCTGAATTTGACAGTCTAATGGAGAAGGTGGTGAAGGTACATATTAGGGTGAAAGAATACTTGGAGTTAAATGGATACGAAAAGTGGGCTAGGTTGTATGTACCTGTTAACAAGGATGGACCATGACGTCAAATATTGCTGAGTCCATCAATGTCGCACTAGTGTCAGCAAGGTAATTGCCAATATACGACTTCCCCGAAGAAGTTAGGAAGATTTTTGGACGTTGGAATTGCAGTAACTGCAAAGAAGCTACACAGACATACACAACGCTTGAAAAAAAATACCAGGAGATGCTGACTTTGAATGAGGCAATGTCTACACGCATGACTGTAAGTTTTATTTTAATGTCATTGTATCATATATTTAGCTCTTTTTTTAGATAGCTTATTTTTTCTGAAATAATTTATACCTTTTTTTAGATAGATGTATTCAATTGTATTATCATGCAGTAGCCTTATAATGTGTTTGTTTCTTTTCAGCTGCTTAAAGTTAAGCAGATGTTAGATATATAACAGTGTATTCATAAGATAAGATGTAATTATAGTTTATATTCTGCCGGTCTATATATAAGATGTATTCTTCTGTATTCAAACATTTCAGTTGTATTTAACTGAATAATTCTGCATTATACATACAAAAATATGTTTGTATTTGTCATACCTCCTTTTTCACCTACACCCCGCAAAGGGGCGTAAGGGGAATTTTTCCAATTAAAGGACAATCGAAACAGGATTTTATTTAAAGATTCAGAGTCGCCACTTGGGAGATTTGTGGTGTCCCAAGTCACCGGTTGAAACCTGAATCGAGGAAAAGAATGACTCTGTTTAACAGTCTGCGCACCAGAAATCCGGATAAGGAATTCTGTTAACCCGGGAAAAGGTGTTAGGCATTCCCGAGTTCCGTGGTTCTAGCACGGTCGCTCTACTGTCATATTCGGCTTAATTATCTGATTTTATACAATTATGAACGTATGTGCAAATTTTAACTGTTTACCGCTTTGGTTATTATTTATTCAAAGAATTGCAACGTCGTGAGAATGCATCTCGAATTGCGCCACATAAATGTACCCGCAATTTTCGATACGTTCCAACTTCGTTGAGATTTGGATTTGGGTCACATAAATGTGCACCCGAGTTTAGGAAGATAACATTATTAAATACGCGCCTAAAGATACTAACGTGTTGTTATTTTTTTTAGAAAAAGCCGTAAAGTTCGCTATGCAGCCTGTCTCGAAATCTGAGCATTTGAAATAACTGTCCGTTGAGGGCCCCGCAGTTTGTGTATTCTTGTTTGTCGAGACTCGTCTCATTCATTATTTTTTAAAGGAATTTGCAACGTCATGGAAATGCATCTCGAACTACGTCACAATTAATGTACCCTTGATTAGCAACACATTTCGGCTTCGTTAAGATTTGGATTTGGGTCACATAAATGTGCACCCGAATTTAAGAAAGTAAGATTATTTAAAGTACACGTCTAACAGTGACTAACGCGTTATTACTTTTGAAAAAAAAAGGCCGTGAAATTTGCTAAGAGGCCGATCCCGAGTTCTAAGTAATTAATATATATACAGTCGTGAGGGCCCCGCAATCGTTGAGTTTTACTAGGCGAGGCTCATCTCATTTATTTGAAAGGACAATCCTAAAGTGACTACATTTTTTCTTATTTATCTTTAAAGGAATTTGAACTCCTACTCAATCAACTTAATTCACAAAGTCCGGTACAGTAAGATTTGTTATAACTGGGGTTCATGGGCGCATGAGTTCAAATCATTCAACGGATTTGGGCCTTTCTACAGTCCGTGTAAGGAATC